TTATTGCTCACAGTTCTGGGGGCTGGAAGTCCCAGATCAGGGTGCCGCAATGGCCAGGTGGGAACCTCTTCTAGGTGGCAGACATTATCCTATATAATAAAACCCTAATATGCAAATCGACTGAATATGGGGTCCCGGATTGCGAGAGGGTGCAGGCCTGGCTGAGGGACCACTTTCCCCCACCACCCCCGTGCATGAATTTTGTGCAGTGGGCCTCTAGTTTTATATAAAGTCCTCACAGAGACTAGGGAGTTCTGTGGGGTCTCTTTTATAAAGGCACTAATCCCATTTTTGAGGGCTCCACCCTCATGACCTATACACCTCCCAAATGCCCCATCTCCTAATACCATCACATTGGCCATTAGAATTTCAACATATGTATTTTGGGGAGACACAGCATTTGGACCATAGCTGGGCCAGAGTTCCTGCTGCTTTCCTTCTCCCTCCAGCCTTCAGTCAGAAATCCCCATGCCTCCCTCCCAATGTTGTCTGGAATCACTACAGGATGACTCTGAGAAATAATGTCACTTCTGCTGACCACTATGTTGAAAGTACAAAAACACTTGCTGCTGTGTAACAGCTGTAAATTAGTGCCCCCGAACACATGCAGCCAGTTTAAGAGCACAGAGAAGGTTATACTTGGAAATAACACAGCCTCGAACTTATTTTCCTTTTGAGTAACAGTGTAATGTAGTTGTTCAGAACCAGAGCTTTGAAACTGAATAACTTACATTCTGTTTCTAACACTGACTAGCTGGGTGACTTACCCTTTGTGTGCTTCAGATAATGCTGTCAAACTCAGAATCTGTTGTAAGATTAAATGAGTGGATAAGTATTAGGTTTTCAGAAAAGTGCATGACACATTTAAAAAATACATATATTTTTATTGGTTTCAGAGAGGAAGGAAGAGGGAGAGAGGGATAGAAACATCAGTGATGAGAGAATCATTGATTGACCGCCTCCTGCATGCCCCACACTAGGAATGGAGCCCGCAACCCAGGCATGTGCCCTGACTGGGAATTGAACCGTGACCTCCTGATTCATAGGTCAGTGCTCAACCACTGAGCCACGCCTGCCGTGACATGGCGCGTATTTAGTGCTCAACCAGTCCTAGATATAAACAATTATATGTTCCTTCTTGATTTAATCATCATACAAAGGGATTTCTCTCTAATTTTATCAAAAACATAAGAGAATCGTATACGCATAATGGGTCTTTCAGTAGCATTGTGACAGATTCTTCTCTGTTGTTTAATTGTTGAAAACGTAAACATGCTGCTTATTAAGTGGTCCAAATTTCAATTGAGGAAGAAAGGCAGGATCAAAACATTTTTAGCACACAAACAATCCATTTTATATGATTGCTGTGCAAACATAATTTTTTGGCAGAACTCTCAATTCCTTGCTTTCACGTGGATAAAAAGAATAGCAGCCTCTTTGGACAAGTTGAAGCTGGGAATGCAAAGAATGAACGTGTGGACAAGGCATGTTTTCAGCACTTTTCTCTAGAGGACCATCTGAAGTGCCTACTTCGCAAACAAAGATGAAAATCTGAGATTCAGTTCTAGCGTCCCAGACTGCGCCCCTTATAGAGGTTTCTACACAGTGGATGGCGGTGGGGCAGGATGACAAAGAGGGAGGTGTGGAAATTTTATCCTCACAGGAAAGGGCCTCTATGTACTTGCATTATTTTTCCAACTTTCTCTACCCAAATGAGTCTTTCATCTTTGTTTTATTGGAGTCAGAAATTTAATAAAAACTCGCTGGAATATGAAAAGATGATTAAATATTTATTGAAAATTTAAATGTGATACTTACAGGTACTTATACTCCTTGAGGCACCTTAAAGGCAATAAACTTTATTTCAGAGCTTTATCTGAGTTTGGCACCCCACCTGAGTGAAATTTAAATAAAAGTGAAATAGAAAAATGCCTCTTAGGAAAGAATGGCCTAGTTTCAGCATTTCTCCTATATTAATTTAGAGGACTCATTTTAACATTGCCCACAGGAGAGCCTGAATTTCTCAGCTCTACAAGCTGACCTCAATCCTTTCAGTGCCATCTTCTACCTCATCTCTAAAGTGTCTCTACTTCCATTATTTCTTTTCAGAGGTCAGTAAATCTGTAAGACATTCGTCCCCCAAGTCTTTGCTTCTGCTCTTTACTTGTTCTTATTTCTATTGAAATTTTGCATACTCTTCAAAAATAAGCTCTCCTGGGTGGTTTTTGTGATTTCCCCAGATCTAGAATTATAGATGCTTCTTTGCTCTCTCAATTCTTTGTTCTTCATTTCATGCCCTTAGTTAATTCTGTTTTCTGTTTTAGCTATTTATCTGTGCCCTTTTTATTGTCATAAACAATTAGCTTTTCGGGGAGAGAGTAAAATATTTCTTAGTCATATTTGTATGCCATAGAGCAACATATATATGCAGAACTCAACAGTATCTGTGGAATTAATGAAACACAAAGACCAGGAAAAATAAAAGCTCTCAGACTAGAGCATGCTCTTCTTCATTTCCTTTGCATGCCAACCCTTTACCTCAGGGCCATTTGAATTGCCACCTTTGTGGCTTTGTATTTCTTCTAGGATAGTCGGATATGGACACTTCTTGCTTAAAACCCTTCAATACATACACCTAATTGACCTTAGGGCAATAATTTGACCTTGGTGAGAGGAAACCCAAACATTATTCAGTGTCCTTTAAGACTGATTCATGCCCAGTCCCATGTCACTCCCTCCCTCACACTTTGTTACAGCCACAGCGAGTCTCAGAAATGGCTTTTCTACATGGAATGTGTGTTGTTCCATTCCTCCCCTGTCCATCTTCTACTGTCTAACTCCTCATCTACCAGATTCAAGATGTTACTTCCTTCTGGAAATCATCCTTAATTCCCTGTACCATCGCCAGCCTGGGATGGGATTAAGCCTTTCTCCTTTATGATCTAATAGATAATAAAGATTAGAAAGACTTGGGTCAAGACGTGATTCTGCTTCTTACCAAGCAGTGACTTTAGACCAGTGCTTCACAAATGTTATGCGTCAGAATCACCCAGAGAGTTTGTTGATTCATAGCCCACTGGGCCCCATCTCCAGAGTTTCTGATTCAGTAGTTCTGGGATTGGTCCTGAAAATGTGCATTTATAATGAGTTACCAAGTGACACTGATGATGTTCCTGCCTTAGATAATTTATGTAATCTCTCAAGCTTTAGTTTGCCATATGCAACATGAGGCTAACTGAGGTGTTTTAAGAATTAGTTGTCAGTGTTTGACATGAATTAGTATTCAGTCAATGTTAGTTAATATTGATTCTCCTTTATCATTGCTTTCATCACACTATTAAATTATAGACTAAACTGGCAAATAAAGTAGGAACCCCATGGAAAGCAGAGACTATTTCCATTTTCTTATTGTTTTATCACAGCTACTTCATGAAGTGCATTAGTTAACACTAAATAAATATATAATGGAATAAATTCAAAGTAAAAGCATTCAATAAATAAGAAATAAAATGAATTCAGGTAGCCGCTACACAGAATGTTCCAGGATTCCCTAGTACAGCTTGCTCTAGTCTTGGTTTTCCTGGGACTGTTTTTGCTGATTGGTTCCTAAATCACTTTTGGTTTTGGTGAGTCAGTCCCCACAGCTTTTGCTTCAAGCAACACAGAAAAACATTTTTCTGTAGGAACTAGAAGTAAGCACATGGACTACTCATTTGGTTGTGTAGTTTCGGTTTCATACTGAATGAGAGAACTGCCCCAACGTGCTTCTGTCCCTTCTGTGCCTGAACATATGCCTGCCTTTAACACTGGATATGGGTTAGAAATTAACATGAACAATTTAATCTGCAGTTCTTCCCAAATTCATGACTCCTCTTTTGAGAAGATAGTTTCTACTCCCATCCTCCTCTTTGATCTTAGAAACTCATATTTTATTTTCACTCATTAGTTCAACAGAATTTTCCCACCATTTATCATGTGGCAAGTATTGTGTGGTGATGCCATGTAAGTCACAGTTCTTGCTGCACAGAACCTAAAGGATGGCATGTAACAGCTTGCACTGTAATTGTTTGCTTCCCTGTCTCCCATGCAAAATTGTGGGCCTCCTAATGGGAGATGCATTATCTGATTGATGGTTGAGTCTCCAGCTCAATGTCTGGTATATGCTAGATATTCATACACATGGATCATTATTTATACAGAGAGACCCTCCTTGTGATATTGGTGCTTAGAAATAGAACTGAGCTCCAGAGGTCATGGACTGGTAGTCATGAAATGACTTGGCACTAGATGTGTTATTTGACATACAATGTGTGTTTTAATTCCATGAGGACCAACCAGTAACATGTGGGAGATAGTTACATAACTTTCCAGATTTCCACCTTCTCTTGAAAGAGCCCACATTTCCGTATTACCCCAATCAGCTGAAGCGAATTCCCACTTTCCCTGCTCTTTCACATGGAGCGTGCCCTCTTGGCTACAGCCCCTACCATTCCCTACTGTGTTACCCAGCTGTCTATGTATATATTGTGTCGTGTGTATTTGCATGGATTTGTGGTCAGTAAAGAAATTCTTCAAATCCAACATAAGTCTACTGAAAGTTTGTCTTTACAAGCTTATAACAACCTAACCCTGACTTATTCCTTTTTTTCTTTAGTGATGTAGAATGCTAACGAGAATTTGCTTTCACTTGAAATATCTAGCATATTGAGTCATCGATCCACATTTCGTGCAAGTTATTTTTCTGCATTTTCACAGCAGGCTTCCTGTATTTCTCAATTAATTAAATCATGGCCAGCGCCTTTTCTGCTGTGAAGTGCATCTCAGTCCAGAGTAAAAATGTACCTAAATCTGTCTGGCTTGGGTTATTTTTCTCCTTACGGTTTTTGACCTAGCACTTGTCATTTGGTTTGGTTTTGTCATATCAGATTAGCTCATTAAAAACATAAAATGGACTTAAAATCATAGTTTAGCTAATCAAATATATTCATGCTTTGTTTCAGCTCTCCTTAAAAAGAAGAGGAAGCAAAGATTTACCAAAATCTGAAAAAAAGACTCAACAGACTCCCACAGAGGTATGTAGAGATAAAATTTCACCAAGCACATCAGGCACCTCTAAATGGATATATAAGCTACTTCTATAAGTAGACATAACAACCAGACATACTCCTGTAAAACAGAGTTACGTTATGCATATCGATTATGTAGCTATAGATACAGGCAGTACAAAACATTCAGGATCTTCGCTTACAAAGCAAGCACTAACATCCCTATTATTATCGCGTTTACACATGGCAAAATGTCAGTAGTACTTTCTGTGTTCCTATATTTGAGAACGGTACCCATGCTGCTAATCTTGTTCACTCATCCTATATAATAAAAGCCTAATAGGCAAATTGTCCCCTCAATCAGGAGTTTGACCAGGGGGCAGAGCTAGCTGACCAACTGCCTGCGGCCCCTCCCCCAGTCCAGCTTCACCCTATCACCTCCCCTCCACCCCCGATGAGGGGCAGGGCTGGCCGGCCAACCTCCCGCATCCCCTCCCCCCTAGGCCAGCCAGGCGTTTGGCGGGGGGCACACCAGACCCCACCAGTGCATGAATTCGTGCACCGGGCCTCTAGTAATTAATAAGGTCGGTAGAATAGCTGTCCCTACGGTATCGGGGGGAAGAAAGAAAGGGATGTGGCAGGAAGGAATGGCAGAGGAGAGTGGCTTGTGCTGGCTTTAGAGTCCTCGCCTGAAGTAATTCGCTAGACCAGTGATTGGGGGAGCAAAAAATCAAAAAAATAAAAAAGGCAACAGAAGAATAAAAGTAAAACGTAAAAGATGGATTCACCATGGGCTTGTTGAGAACCTTAGAAACTCAGCACAGTAATGACTAGTTCTGCTTTCAGGGTGAGCAGAAGGTACTGAGAGACGTAAGGAAGGAGATTTTATGCCGAAACCAGTTTGGCTCAATGGATAGAGCATCGGCCTGCGGACTGAAGGGTCCCAGGTTCGATTCCGGTCAAGGGCATGTACCTGGGTTGCGGGCGCATCCCCACTGTGGGGTGTGCAGGGAGCAGCTGGTTCGATGTTTCTCTCTCATCGATGTTTCTGGCTCTCTGTCTCTCTCCCTTCCTCTCTGTGGAAAACCAATAAAATATATTTTAAAAAAAAAAGAAAAAGAAAAAAAGAAAGGAGATTTTAAAACAGAAGAGGAAATATTTGGAGGCAGAATGGCTCTCCAAGAACACCTGGCCAGATACCTTTTAAGTGCCTATGTTGGGATATGGAGTACTACAGCATGCTTTTTAAAAAAATTCCTTCAAAGGGTTTTCTTAGTAGGTAGAAACCAACTAAAGCAATATTTACAAAAGTTGATGATCATATTTTTAAAAAGCGTAACATATTAAATGTTTATTTTCTCTTTTCTTTTCTCTACCCGTTCTGTTCATGGTTAATTTTTCTTTGGGTACTGGCACAAGAATATTTATAGACCAGAGTCTTATACCAAAATCATTACTCTTTTTTGTACATTTTTCTCAGTTTCCTGGATAAGTTCAATATGCTCTGTTGCTACAGCTTTCTCACTGTCTTCAGCATAACTTTAGCCACCTCACTCTAGGTATTTTGCTGTAAGTCATCCCCCATGTGGCCATGAATCCTCTTCCCCACCTTATTTAGGGGGAAGATGCTTGTTCTAACGTCTTACGTCGGCTGTAGTCAGCAGTTTATTTCTTTTCACTCAAGTCCTATTCTTGTATTTCCCATGCTAAGGCTTATGCAGGTGTCCTTTCCGATTGTTTTCTTGATTGACATAAAAATCGTCTCCCATCCTCTTTCTCTCTTTTCCCAAAATGAGGAGGACAATGAAGATCTGAAATGCCAGCTGCAGTTCGTGAAAGAAGAAGCTGCTCTGATGAGAAAGAAAATGGCCAAGATTGACAAAGAGAAGGACCGCTTTGAGCACGAGCTGCAGAAGTACCGGTCCTTTTATGGGGATCTGGACAGTCCTTTGCCCAAAGGAGAGGCGGGGGGCCCTCCCAGCACCAGGGAGGCCGAGCTCAAGCTGCGGCTGAGGCTGGTGGAGGAAGAAGCCAACATCCTGGGCAGGAAAATCGTGGAGCTGGAGGTGGAGAACAGAGGCCTCAAGGCGGAACTGGACGACCTGAGGGGCGAAGACTTCAATGGCTCGGCCAACCCGCTCATGAGGGAGCAGAGCGAATCCCTGTCGGAGCTGCGGCAGCACCTGCAGCTGGTGGAAGACGAGACCGAGCTGCTGCGCAGGAACGTGGCCGACCTGGAGGAGCAGAACAAGCGCATCACGGCCGAGCTCAACAAGTACAAGTTCAAGTCCGGCGGCCACGAGAGCGCGCGGCACCAGGACAGCGCCAAGACCGAGGCGCTGCAGGAGGAGCTGAAGGCGGCGCGCCTGCAGATCAACGAGCTGAGCGGCAAGGTCATGCAGCTGCAGTACGAGAACCGCGTGCTCATGTCCAACATGCAGCGCTACGACCTGGCCTCGCA